AAGTTATATGAAATAGAATTTTAACTATATTTTATATTTTATATTTTTATATATTTTATTACGTACACTGAAGAAGACCTCAATTAAAAGAGGTCGAAACGTTTGTTGTTTTGTTAAATTTAAAATTAAAATAAAATTAAAATACGAAACTAAAGTATCTAACTTTAACTCTATAATAATTGCAGCTTATCATTGTGCACTGACAGGCGCAATGATGTAACGACGTTGCCTGCTACAAAAAGAAGTCAACAATCTACTTCTTGTATCCGGCGAGAGCATACAAATAATTTCTATACAAGTAATTGTAGAAGTAATTTGTATCTTCCTTTTTTCTTTCTGATTCAATAAAATTGATTCTTTATATCTGCTGAATTTTGAACAAGTATACTGAATAACAGCAATGCTCGATACAAGCTATAGATGGATAGTCTATTCTTTTTCTCCTTTTGTTCGTTCACCACGATAAAATACGAAAAGAGAAAATGGAAAGAAAAACATAGACTATATAGATAACATATTCAAAACGAAAAAAAAGAGAGAAAGCAATAATAAAAGGCGTTAGTTTCCACGCAAAACTAGTTTTTCATCTATTTCTCGAAAACTAGACTAGATACCAAAAAACAGACGCCAGATTCGGAATCTACGTAAAAAACCGAATCAGAATATATATACCGTTTCTTCCAAACCGGACACAAGTAGAATCGACCCGATTTGCTACGATGTATAAGTGACTTTTCTTCCTTGATACGACAAGTGAACAGAGTACTACATTGTTCCATGCAGTTTGAGACTTATGGATATCTCAGACTTTATTTAGTCGTGCGTTCATCGTGTTAAAAGGAGAAGAATTTTTTCCGTTTGATAATCTTAATTCACGTCTGAATCATACAGTATTTGGTCCAAAAGGAAAAGGTTTTTTCGTGCTGAAAAGGAGCTGAGGGTTTTGTACAGTGCTAGATGTTTTTTATTTTCTCTCAGCAAGATCCTAATATAAACAGAGCAGGATCAGTATATTAACTTCAATTTGAATAGGACAGATTCTGAGCACACAAAAGAACCGGACATTTCTATTTTAAACACAAACTTCGCGTTTTTTATTTGATACAAAGTTATCACAATAACATATTTCACGAAATTCCGGCCGTTTATCGGCAATACATTCCGAATCGTGTCCATATTTATTTATTCTCGATAATCGTCGTTTTTGAATATCAAATTTTTGTTCTACAATATCATGTCCAACTGTAATTTCAAATTGTCCATGACCTGGAATGGTTTCAATCTGAAGTTGATACAATGGTATTCGTTGATTTTTTCGAGCTTGTTTTTCAACAGTAATATTCGATTGTTGTTTAAATCCTGGAATGCGTCCATCTTTATCGATTGATTTATCAAATTTCAACATCATATCATTAGCAGCTAATTCTTGAGCTTTATGTATATGAAGGAGTTTTAATAGTGCACATTCGTTTCGCACATCTGCCAAATAGTTATTCAAATAATCGACAACAGCTTCACCAATTGTCTGTATGAGTGAATGATTTTGAAAATTAACAATTTGTTTCCATTGTAAACATGTACACCAATGCGATTCGACGGCAGCACTTTCACACGTACGATTATCGGGTATCGGGTGAAAGAGCGAATAAGAACGATTTGATTTCGATTGATAATCCTCATCGTCTTGAAAATCGAATAAATTTAAAAATGTTTCATGAATATCAAATGGAGTGGTTAAACGATGAGAATTTAATCTAAAAAGAAATGAATAAAATTTTATCACTTTAATAATCAACTAAGTTATATGTATTCACCTTAGATTTTTGATTAAATGAGGATATTTTTTATGAAATTTTGGTGGCATTCGAATAGACATAAATGGTAAACGTTCTTCCAGTTTTCCTTGATATGATTTTCTCAATTGTGAATATCTCGCACCATGATCTGTCATTAATATTAACATTGTATTGTCTAAATAACCTTTTGTATTCATATAAAGTAAAAAGTTGTATAACTCTTGATCGGCATACGGCAAACGATTATTTGAATCATGAGAATATTGTGAATGAAACAGAAATGAGAATTTAGGTTGTCTAGGGTACATTTCATAGAATTCACGCATCCAATTAAGCATGTTTTGATGACGTGATACAGAGCCAAAACAGTAGGGTTTTGTAGTACGCATTGATTCAGCGACCAGAAAAAATGGACGCATATAATGATCCACAGGTGGATTACGAAAACCTAATAGACGCATTTGAAATGTTCCCGCCGTTTGACCATCTTCTCCCCATTGAGTAACATATCCATTGTCTTTGAATTTATTCCAAATCTCGAAAAAAGGAGATAATTATTTTATGTATTGAAAAATCAAGAATGAATCTTTTGATGACTAAAACTGAAGATCTGCCGAACTTTTTTCTACAAGTTAAAGTCTATCAAGTAGAGTTGATTCTAATTATTTTACACAGCAGTAGAGCTTCTTTAACATTGAAACGGTAAGTTTCTTACTGCAAGTTAAATTACTAATGGATGATGTTATTTGTGTTGTAAGTAATGCTTACCCATGGATAATGATCAACTGTTTGTGCACCAATGTGACCGCGTCGTGATTCAGGTAACTCCATTTCTGTTTGACTTGTTAGAATTGGTAATAACGCAGCTGGAGTACCATCACCAACGATATTGTAACCTATAATTCGGCAAAATACATTTTACTCTAAATACTATATATATTTGTATGATTTTCCCTAGTAAAAATCTTAGGCACTTCTTAAAATTATCTTACTAAGATCTTATCCTTTAAGATCTTGCTAAGATAATCTAAGATTGTATCGTTTAAGATCTTAAAAAGAATAAAAGATCTTAAAAAGAAAAGATAAAATTTAATAACTGTACTTTCATTCGCCCCTTTGTTTGGCTCTCATTCATCTATATAAGTAACACCCAAAATATGAGTGATTTTATGGTAATTTTTCTTCTAGACTCTGCTAGTACTTGCTCCAAGGGGGAAAAAGCGGACTCCTGAACTCCTGTGGACTCCTGAAGTCCAGAAGTCCAAGAGCAAAGTATTCTTTCTTGGAACACTTTGCTCTTGGACTCCTGGACTTCAGGAGTCCAGGAGTTCATAGGAGTCCGCTTTTTCCCCCTTGGCTTGCTCTCTCGAAAGTGTTCAACAACTTTTTACCCACAGGATCTTTTTTTCCCTATTTATACCGTTATAACTCTATAGAATATGCTTTTGCTTAAATTATGGTATTACAACGCGATAGACGTAGCCCGTCGTGCCATAACGCGTTGCAAAGTTATTTTTCAGGAATTTATGGCGCCGTAACTGGATAAAAATTTTCATTGCATTACAACTCTATAAATTTATAGCATTTTATAATGCGCTTCAATTTTTTATCTCGTTACAACGCAATTAGATTTGTCTACCGTCTTTTAATACGTCAGATTCTAACGTATTATAACGCGTTTGAGTTTTCTACTTCAATATAATACATTGGAAATTAATGCGTTATAATACCTTGGATGTTTTATCTAATTATAATGCCATAAATTTGGAAAAATCTTTTATAATGTTATAATTCATTAGATACTGCATATCGTATTGTAACGAGTTAATATCTAATAGATTACAATGCATTATTCTTTTCTATCTCATTACAATAAGATAAGAAAATGAAACTCGATGTAACACGACAGGTATTACTGCGTTACAACAAGTTAGACAATATCTAAAACGAAAATACATGGTTTTCTTGTAAAGGACACATTTTCATAAAATTCTGAGACTGCCAATCGATTCTTCTTGAAAAGTTGGGAAAAATTACTTCAACCATATCAGACATATACGTTACTGACTTGAGACTCAGGACATAAACTCCCACAGCACACTTATTATCAGTGTCATGTACAGCGCCTGAAGAGTTAATGCATTGTAATGCAATAAATTTATAACGTTATAATGTGTTAGATATTATAGCGGTATAATACATTAGTGTAACGCGTTGCAGGTTAATGCGTTATAATGCGACAGGAATTAGGAAACGCCCTGTAACGGCGTACAAATTACTAACGCGCTAGTCGAATTTATAGCGTTGTGACATTATAAAATATGCGAAAGCCGTTGATAAAAATGCATTATAACACTATACTTTCAATTTTTGGGCAGTTTTTTCCACATAATGCGTTACGCTAATGCATTAAAGACATGTTTTTTCTAAATTTATTGCGTTATAACACAATAGAATAGCTAACACATTACAAGGCATTACGATATGCCTGACGCATTGTAATGCAATAAATACGAGAAAAAGATCCTACGGGTAGAGAGTTTACATGCGGGTCAAGATCCATAGTTGAACACCCAAAAATATGAAATTTTTCTTCATTCTTCAACACTATTCAACTGTTGCTTTGGATAATGCGGATTAAAAATTGAAAAATTTACAGCGCATCTCTAATGAATATTATTTAAAAAACGTCGTTCTTACTATTAAAATCCTAACAGATTCTTATTCAATCTTGAGAAAATCTTAGACAGTATAATCTTAGTAAGATCTTAGAAAAATCTTATTAAATCTTAGAATTTTCAGATCTCACGATCTTAGACAAATATAAGCGAAATTTCACTAAGATCTTAATACGATTTTTCTTCATTTTAAGATCTTGGTAAGATTCGAGTAAGTTTTTCACTAGGGTTGTATACGAATTTTAGCCCATGTGACAATATAGACTATTCTCTAATGAAAGAAGAGATATTGTTCAACTCTCATAAAACATACCTTTCATGACTACAGCACCCAACTGTTGAACTAAATATGAATATGTTTTTGGTAATAATCTTATAAATGACATTCTTGATATCGAATCGAAACCAAACATCAATACATTATAACCCAGATGTGTTTTAACCATTGGATTCCAAATATGTCGCATATGTAAGCCAGCATCAAACTGTATCCCACTGTGAATATTACTATAGAATGATCCATCTCTCGCACGACAATCGGCACGAAAAAAGTCGCTAACTAATGGCATATTATCTACTATGGGAAAAAGTCGTTGACCTTCAATAGTGGAAAAATCATCTTTACCACGTAGAATTGGACGATAGGCACAAATAATTGGACCATGTTTACGTAGAGCTTGTTGTGATAAACGAAATGTACCTAAACAAAAAAGATAAAAAGATTGATAATAATTAAATTATTGTTTAATATCATCTTACCATTTTCAATATATACCCAATTTTGTGTTTTTTCACATTCTAATTCCTCCTTCACTGGTTTCAAATAAGTCCATATATCTGGACTATCAATATCCAATTTTGGATAATTACAAGTTAAATTTGTTAAATTAAAATAATCTTCTTTTAATAGTTGAACATTTGGTAATATTCTCAGATATTGTTGTTGTTTTGATCTGATTAGATCCGATTCATCTAATAAAATTGGTTGATCATAATCACCACTTGCATATTTTCGTCTATATGATACATGACGTAGAACATTTGAAAAAGATGTGTAGATTAATAAAAACAAATTAAATGTAATTAAACTAAACAATACTGTATAACGAAATTTTGAATAACGTAAACAAAAAGAAACCATATATTTTTTTCGTAGAAAAGAAGTGGAAGAATGAGATATAGATGTAGTAATAGATAACAATTTGGTATTTAATTATTAAGTGCCAGCATTAGTAGGAAAAAATTCAGAATTTCTTACGTTTTCTTCTTTTATGTTTCCAGCAATATGAGTCAATCATAGGCGAGTTAAATAAATTACAGAATAATAATAATAATACTGATAATAATTTTCTAATAATTGAACATACATTAATTGTTGAATTAATTAGTTAATGTTTCTTCATGATTTCTTCAATTGATTTAAAAAATTTCCTAAAAATAAACAAGTTTTAGACAACTACCTCTCACAATTACATGTAACGAATAATATCTTTTAAGCGTACTTCTCAATTAAGTTATAAATAATATATTTCATATTTTTTCCTAAACATTCACTGGTAGTATGCGGCTGCCAGGTCTAGAAACGAGTAAGAAGCTGTTTTGGATCGATAAGTTGACAGATTAGCTTTTTGTGAACAGTCGAGTCAAATTTTTTTGACAAACAACGGCACCCCCATGTAGAGAAACGTATTCTTTTCAAAATGAGATGGCACAGATCAGACAGATTAGTATGATATTTATTCATAACATTAGAACGGATTCACTACAGCTCCTAAAAATGATTTATCCTCAATTCGTTTCTAATTGATTTCTCAATTCATCTCTCATATGCACGCATTGGCTAAATTATTCGACTTATAAATTTATTTAATAAACTTAGTAAAAAACAACAACATTAATAATTAACAATATATAAACAGCTACAACTTAGAACCGTTTAGGATGCCTAAAAAGAAGGAGCTTACCATCCTATATAAACTTACGGATATTCAGTAGGGGTACATAAAAATTCTCCGAAAATACGATTTCGAACAGGCTGTTATTAGTATTTACAAATATCAAAATTAATGACTGTTTCTTTCACTAAGCATAATTGTTATGGAGAAAACAACAACAAATTGGCATCAGTGGTTATTTTCTTCCAAGAAATGCTAATAGCAACAACAACAATATATCAGATGTTGAACATAAAACGGCAGATCATTGCTTTCAGTTCATCATAAATATTCGTTATATAAAAACGCAAATTTCTCTATACTACGTGATTTTGATCTTTATTTTCTACAATTCTCATCATTATAAACGATTTTAAAGACATGATTAACGGAAATATGTAGAAAAAAAATAAAATTGTATGACCATTTCTATTCTAAATGCCTTACGTATTTACGTTGAACTATTCAGAACACTATTATTATTTTTTCTCTGCAGAATAATAGACAATAACACTGACTGAAGTAGTTCTGGACAAAAGATAAGAGAAGATTAAGAATATTATATTTGTAAAACTCTGCTACAATTTTTATAATAGAAAGAAGCATTGATTATTGAACTCAGGGAATAATCGTAAAATGAGAAAAAAAGAACTAAACATAACATTTGCACTTTATTCATATATCAATATTGAAGTTTTTTTAGAAAAACACTTAAAACAAATTTATAGTATGGTTTAGTATAGAGATTTTGATAGAATGAAAAAGAGATGATAAACACTAGAAAATGATGATCAAAATGAAAAACTTACACTATCAAAGAAATCGTTCTCTCTTCGATGAGAATGTTGTTTTTTTGCTATAAAAAATTTCCTTATTAACAACATACAGACTATAATTCACACAGTAAGTGAAAAATATTTTCCCGGAGACAGACTATCCATCCAAATGAATTATATTTATGTTGATAAATGCCTTATACACAATTTTTTTCTTTCATTTTCTTTAGAATTAAGATCATTCCGAGCTCTCTGAGATGTTTTATTACTGAGAAATGTTGCAGCTACAAAATGGTGTTAAGATGAAAGTCGCCTTGGAGATATATTGCGTTAAAATATAGTTTCGTTTCTGCTTGGTCATATGTCAAAGCGATTTTTCCGAAAAATGTGTCTTTGTTTATCAGCACGTGATTTAGAACGTCGACCGTAACCATCAATTACACATAAATATAATTTCTTTTTGAAGAATCTTTCTATTTTCTTTGAATATTACAAAAACAATTATCGTCAACTCTGTTTTGCGTTTTTTTCTATAAAAAAAGACTTAGTCACGTTATCACCCCTATTTTTCTGTTCAATTGACTTCAAATTTTGTACCAGAGGGACACAAGATCTTATCTTAGGATCTATTTTTTGAATTTTTGCTTATGTCACTTTCTTTTCGAGTTATAGCAATAATATAATAGTAAATACTGAAAAACTTTCTGAAATTGTGGTTTTCTAAGTTTGAAAACCCTACAACTCAGAAAGAAAGTGAGATAAACAAAAATTAAAAAAATAGATCCTAACATAAGGTCTGTCCCTCTAGTAAAAATTTGAAGTCAATGGGACAGAAGAATGGGGGTGGTAACGTAGTCAGGCGGTGAGAAAAAAAGTTTTCCAGAAGTTGTGCATGATGAAGAAGCCGGATTGGTCTCAAAAGGTGCATCACATCAATGATTAAAAATTCAAGTTTCCAGACATTATAATGTAGGCACAGGAGAAATCATTTGAGAAGCTCTGCAGAAGAGGAGGGATACAGTGTACATATAGGCGGACATTAGGAAAAATCGGAAAATGGCAGATTCAAACACATAGAAATATACTTTGATATGTGGGTTATCCATTGCCATAAAAAGTTTGATTTCAACTACTAAGTATTATCGGAAAAGATGTAGCAGAAAGTTAGCCTCACAATACGAGTAATAAGGCTAATAAAATGTTTTTCTACATCCAACAGATATATGGTTAAAAATAACGCTGATTATGAATCTAGGCTCTTTGACATATGTAATAGCGAAAGAATTTTGATTTTTGACCGCAGGCTAGAGGAGACATCACAGAGTTTTCCAAAAAATTTAAGCTTCCGTACAGACATATTTTGTAGAATATCTTTCCCCCGTATTCCCCTTATTCAGAAATTCTTAAACTTGGAACTTTGAGACATTGTTCCTCTATCTACACTACATCGATATTTCATGTACAAAAATGCGCAATCGTTCCTGTGCCAAGATATAAGTTTTTCAAAAAACCTTGATTTTCATGTAAAATCTAATTTTTCCATCCTAGGAACGTTTGTGACAAAAACTAAGAGCATATTCGAAATCAGTTCATCAAACTGAATCGAAGCATGTATAACTAACTATCGAAATTTTCTCATTAATCTACAAAACTGATTTTCCAAAAACATGATTTTTGCTGAAAGCGTTAATTTCTTTTTCTTTAAAAGTATCACAGATGACTAAGGAATGATAAATTATTTATGAAAAAAACCAATTTACGAGTAGCACCTTCTGATATTCTGCTATTAGAAAAATGCACACTGTGATTAGTACCCTCAAGTGACGAGGAATCTACTGTCCACTTGATGCCTGCGTGTAACAAAAATTCGTTGTCTACTTCTTTCATGTAACGATATTTATTGAAGATACATAAAAAGTTGATGTAGTTGAAGAAAAATTTTTACATGAAATTTATAAATGTTTTAAGAAACTATATCTCTTCTATTTAAATTGAAAAATATTTGTTAAAGAGAATTTTTAATGTTCAAGAAAAATCGAGATAGAGACACATCATACGCCGTTTTAGTTATTGTTTTATTTTTCTCTTAACTTTAATTCGAGATGTTAGAAAAAAAATGTATAATGTTGAGGTTACAACTATATGAATGAATATTTATTACAATGAATTAGATATTCAACAAGTATATGTTCGATCACTCATATTACTGTAACTCTTGAAGGTTTCTATCAATTAGAGAAATCAATTATTTGTATTTTAAGACTAGAGGGCAAAAATCAACACACAATGTCTTCATTCTAACTCTCTCTCTATAAACTGCACTTTATTATTGAAACTCTGTACTTAAGTAATTATGTGTGTGTGTATGATGTAGAAATGAGTAACATTTTAATTCTAAAACCATTTCAAAAATTTTTTTATTTAGAGATAGTTTTTATCGTTTATGAATTACTACAATAAATTATCTCCACCTAACGGTGTCGCAAAAAGAATTATAATCTCTGTATTTTCAGTTTTTCTCCTCCTCCTTATGATTAATTGTGCAAATTTTTTTTAACAGAAATATAGCCCGTTAAAATCTCTAGAAAATATGTATTTACTATTTTATAACAAAATTCAAAGGTGGAAAATGAGATGAGAAATCCTATGAAATATAAAAATGGAGAAAAAATTAACATATGTTCTCAGAGATCTAAATTTTTTCAAATGGTTTCACAAGCATCAGAACGCGATTTGAGGACACTTTTGTGTAGTTTCAAGTGTGCTCCCTCTCATGGTACGCAATAAAATTTGTTTTGGATGAAAATATCCGACACAAAGATTGATTTATCGAAAATCGGACGAAAACAGCAAATTATTTGGACCTTATCTACGTGTAATAATAAAGAAGTCTTTCTCAAATCTTATTGACCCGACAATATCGACTAATTATTGGTCTTCAAAATGAAAACAAAAATTCAACCTGAAAGGATGAAGTTTTGACTAGACTATACTTGTTTTATCGAATGAAACAAATTCCTGGGCGAAAATGATCATTTTTAGAGAATTAAAAAATAAATAATTATTATGTTTTCAGTTCTAACTGTAAAAATTTTTAATCTTAGATGAAAGATAGAGCTTTTCAAAGTCTACACAATAACTACTTCACTTTTCTTTCTCCCACGAACGTTTAGCAACTAAAACTTAAAAAGTGCTTGTCTAACTTATTTTTTCTTCATTTTTGTACTTAATAGGATTTCTTATCTCATTTTCCATCTTTGAATTGTGCAATAAAATAGTAAATAGATATTTTGTAGAGATTTTAACGGGCTATGTATCTGTAAAAAGATTTGCTCAATTAATTATAAGGACGAGGAAAAAAACTGAAAATACTGAGACTATAATTCTTTTTGCGCCACCGTTAGACCTAAGAAAGACATTATGTCTAATAGTCGACACTTAGTCGATTTTCAGGGAAATTGTTTTTTGTTTCACATACGGAACAACGTGAAATTTAGAATAGTCTGAGTAGGTCTCAAGTTCTGTTCAATTCTTTATGCTTCACAACGTATATGAAATCTCGAAAAATGTACAATCACCATTATCCGACTCTTGGAGAAACAGTCTTAACAACTATGTCCTGTAAAAACCATTTATGATAGTTTATAGCTTTTCTTCTTTACCAACGGTAATATTACTCAAAAATTTATATTGTTCACAATTTTACATATTCTATTCAAAATTGATAAAACTAGATGAAAAGAAGAAATTAGTGTTACTTAAACATCTACAATGTAGATATTGATTATATGTAATAAGTCGATTTAAGAGAACTAATTGGAAAATTGATAACATTATATGTATGAGAAATAGAAACCGATCTTTATGCATACCCAATGGTGTTGAGTTGTGTTATTAGCAGCTGCTATGGAAAAGTTCACAACCGTAAGTAACGAGACAGTTCTATCCATAAAATTGAATACAATATAATATAACACATTTTTCACAAATGAAATCCTATTCTTCTTTATATTATTATTCATTTATTTACAATTATCATTATCATTTCTTTTTTTTTTACTAAAACAGATAGACAAATCGATAGGTCTATCTTTTCACTTTATATTATGCTAGAATAATAGAAGAGCGAAAGAGAAAAATATATATTCTCTTTACCACAGAACAAGATTTTAATAATTAACCTAGACATGAGAGAGGGTTTTCTTCTCCTACATAGTTCTTTTCGTCTTCTTTTCTTTTTCGGGCGTTTATATCTATATATATTCTAATGCCGATAGTCTCTATATTAGAGAGTTCGATTCTCTGTATAATGTTAATAATAGTGCTACGTTTTTGCAAATATTAATGGAAGAAAAAGAGAAGAGAAAAAGAAGTCGAGTGGATGTATTTGGAAATATAGATGGAACAATGAAAAACAATAGTTAGTTTTTAATCATGTTTCTAAGAGTATTTTTTCTTCTTCTTCCTTTCCACTCCATATTGATAATAATAATAATAATAATCGGCTAGTGATAAAAGAAAATAAACATCTGTAGATATTCTTATTCTTTTAATAATAACAGAAAGAAAATAGCGAGTTTTTTTATATAGTGAGAAAAATTCTCTTGTCAACATTTTGTTCGAGAATAATTGAAAGATATTCCACGATATAGATACGCATATTCTTCTCGTTCATAATTCTAATAAACAGAATACAACAAGAAGTTCAATCTATTGTATGTATATCGTATAATTAAAAGAAAGAAAAAATGAAATATTTACTTCAATATGTATGTTTTAACGACATTCCTTCCGTCTTTTTGGGCTTTCCATAGAAATCCTGTCAAATAAAAACTAAAAATGACTAAGCTTTCATATTTTCAGAATTGTTTTGAAATTCAATGGAGCATTTTTTCAGTTTTGT